TGAAACAAAGTATAGTAAACCAAATGGCAATGTGGGATATAAATATTTCTATTTTAATGACTAAGGATACTTTTTTTAATTATGCTTTTGTATCAGCTTCTGTAATTATATTTCTTCGTAGCTTTCGTTTTTTTCCTCTTACTTTTTTCAATAACTTTTTGAATATTAAAATTGGAAATTCCCTAGCCATATTACAGATGTTTTCTCATTTTACTATTAATAAGAATCATGTCTATCCGTTATATTTTATTCTTTCCTTTTTTAACATTATATGCATTTATAAAAAATTCTTATTTTGTGCCATTATTCTCATCTTCCTGTTATTTAATGTTGTTCTTATAGTTGCTACCATAGTTGTTATTGACTATCTTATACATTTTTTGACACACCAGACTCCACTTGCTTCCTTCCATTTCACTAATACTGTTATAACTCTTTATACTCATTAAGTTGTCATTCTAAGTATAATGCAAATGTTGGATGATAATGATAACGCAATGAAGGAGCTAAGTAATCAAAACATAAAAAATATACATTATAGTATTGCTAAACAAAATTGAATTCAAAGAATGCTCTGCCTCATATATAAAAATGTTAGAAATATTTTATAATTAAGCTATATACAACATGAAGTTTTAACTTTCATATAAGATTTAAACAGTTTCTATCTATTATTGTATTATTATCAAAGATAATCAAGATAATTACTGACAGTATATGCCAGTATATAAGCCAGTTAAATATTCCCATATTGGATTATTGCAAATTTATCAAGGACCATTTTTATAATGAAGGATAGTAAAAACAATATAAAGTCGTGCCTCTAAGAGACTCAACATTCAACAAAAGTTATTTGATTATTATCTCATAATCTCTTATAGATTTTCATTTTACATATTTTTAATGTTTATAAATTGATTAATTTCGTGAATATTGTAAAGTAGCATACAAAAGATTGTATTCATTCAAATAAACAGGTATACAATAATAAAGCAATATATGTTGCGAGTATAAAAGCAACAAAAGGGAAAATTAGTAATAAATGATTCATTAAAAACTGAATGTAATGGAATTCATATTTCTACTTTAAACTTGTATATAAAAGTATTAATAAATATAGTTTTCATCAAATGAAAATGGAATAGACCAAACCATAGTAACATTTTTAAATTAAAAAGTTATTGTACTTTAAAGTACTTTTAAAAAAAAGGTATTGAGTTGAATACAATTATTAAGTCTTAAAAGGTTCATTTGTGTATAATATGTACTCTATTAGGTAGGTACCTATAGCTTACAAATTGGTAGTTTAAAGAGTTAGTATTTCATATTAAAATGTATACTTGGTGATAAATAACTATTAAAAACTAGAACAATCATTCAGCGTAACACTGAATGTATATCACACATATGTAATATAATTTAGCAATTGTGGCTCTAGATGAAATAATAATGGTAAAATAATCAATAATTATGTATCAATGCCTTGACTAAAAGATTAAAATTATTTAATAGTAAAACAGTATACTATAGAATTTTTAACTTAATCATCTGTTTTTATCTCCAAGATTGGAATAATTGGTACCTAATTAATCAAAAATACCTATGTAAGATGTTGATGTTGTTATTGATATTTTGAAGTAGTTAAGACATTATCCAAATGTCAAGGGTGTGACAAACATTTATTTTACAACTAGAAGGAATTATTTATTAAACATTTAGGTTTGAGTAATTTTAAAATAATTAGAAACGCTTAGTGGTGGATAAATTTTGTTTGATTTTAGTAGTCTTCTACCGCCCACTGGAACATCCTGCTCAATATAACCATTCAATGTGTATTTAACGATATAAAACTTAACAAAACCATAAACATAAACGTTCTACACTTAAAACTGCGAAACTTAACAGTATATTTTTAAAGAAAAACGAGTTATTTTTGGTAAATTATAAACCTACCTGTGTAGGAGACGGCAACGCAGCCATCTTTTCGAATAATACTGAAGATTTTCTGATTGGTTAAAAAGTTATCCAATGACAGATAAAATCAATAACATGCGAAGGGTATGTTCCATACATAATAGTAGTTGATGTCGTTGATGTACATGATGACATTGACATAAAATATATAGTTGACAGTTTCTTTTTATTTTATCATATTGTTAAAATAATTTTCCAAACAATTTTTTATTTTATCATATTTTACGTGTTTCCAGATTTTTAGCATCTCAATGCCTTCCAGTAGGGATCAATCATTGTATGTGATGTGCCGTAAATCTATCTTATCTTTTACTGTACATACTTCTCATTAATTTGCCGATTCAATTCACAAGTTATTCATTTGTTATAATCAACAAAATATATTATACTTATCGTCGTCAACACAAGAAAAACTCGTAACTCCATTTTCCTTAATTTTTCAAGAGAGCCTAAAAACAGTAACATTTTCACGGATATCTTTTATTTGATAAAGAAGAACGATTAAACAACTATATTTTGAGTTTTTAAGTCATATTAAGTTGAATTATATCAATTTTAATTTCAAAAACTAGCGGATATAGCTAAAAATACAAAAAAATTGGAGTTACAGGTTTTTCTTCTTTTATAATGAGACGTGCAGATGGAGTTACGTGGCATTCTTTTTAACGCTGGATTGGAAAAAATTAATAAAAGCATTGGTTATCGATTTATAAAAACATATTATCTGACACACATAAGAAATATCCCAATAATTAAATACAGACCAATACTTTTGTAAAAGGTTTAACATAAAATTTAGTATTATTTAAGTACCTTCGTTAGAAGTGAAAAATAGCCTCACTTTTCAACAACAATAAATAAAATTTTAATTTAAAATAATATCGCATACATATGTACAAAAACAAGTTTTGTACAACAGTGATGTGATAGGACTTAAAATACCAATGTTAGTGAGGGAGATTCTCATAAAATGAGTGGTAATCGAAATCAAGGGTATTTTTTAAATACTGCAAATGTTCGAATTTGTCTTTTTTTAATGGTATTCTATTTGTGTAAAGCTTCGGCAGATCTGCGAAATTCTTGGGTATCATATTCTGATTTATTCAACAAGGCAGTTCAATCCAGTTTTCACCAAATCGCAACTTGTAATGAATACCTTGTGGTGAATATTTTGTAGCTCTAATATTGGTCACAACTGCATCACCCTTTTTGTACCCGGTCGGATTCTGCTAACATAGTTTACTGCTCTGAAGTCCTTAAAAATATCATGGTATAGTCGAGTTACTACAAACGGATTTTCCTTTTGCATATTTGTGTGCAGTCACAGGCACATCAATATCGCATACTCTCAATTGCACTATGCATCATGTCTGGGTGTGCGTACCCTCCATTTGGGTGTGCCTTTTCTCAAGGTATTTTTATATAACTGTTACCTTCTGCTTTAAACATAAGTTTAAAATTGCATTAGCTCGAGTAACATTACTATTTTGGTAAGTACATCCATCGCTAAAAAGAATTATTTCACGTACGTTTTCCTCCCTTCAGTATATTTTTCTAAAATACTTACGATCACACTAGCAAATTCAACTTTGTGGATTGTCAACTTTTTTATATAATATAGGGAAGAAACATTGGTCTTAGGACATACAAGGATTGCCTGTAAATCTATTGTCAATACAATGCTTTCACTGTTTTTATCTTTAATTTTCTCAACTCTTGCCTCTTGCTTTTTCAACTGATGTTCCCTAAATGTTTCTTGGTCAAGATTTCCTGTTTTGAAAGAGACACATATTTCACACAAATCTTTTTTGGGTCTATACAAAATCAACCTCTTTTCCAGAAATGCGTTTTTCAAAAAGAAGAAAAAGATAGACTGTTCATTCGTTTTTTAGCTACCATTCGTTTTTGTAAACATGGTGAAGTTGACATTTGCTTTGCCATAATGGTTCTAGATATAATTTACTAGTTGACTGCCTGCAATAATGCGATTCCATTTTCGGCAGGCTATCTAAAAAATTATAAGGATTGTCCAGCTCCTTCTTGTGAAGTCCTTTAAGCGCTTGTTGTGGTTCATTATACAAATTTTCTGTAATAGCAGAATTATTTTCTTGTTTGCAATTCATAACAAACCAATCTTTAAGAGCCAGAGTTGACAAAAACATTTTTTGCATACCCTTCGTTTATCTTCTCCAATTTTCAAATAATATTTTAATGTCTTAGACCTCCGTGATACATCTTCATTTTTTCTATCCCTCTTCCGTTTTGCTGCTTCAAATACTACCAACGTTTTGATATAAATTCTCTTTTCTGCCCATGTACATGTCCAAAACTTATTAAAAGCATGTTCCAAAACAACAAATCCCTCCAAAACAAAAAATCAAATCAACGGCAATAATCACGTAACTGACTTAACAGAAAATGCGCGGAGTTAGGTGTTTTACAAACATAATTTTTTGACCAGGGAGATACCTGCTTTTCTAGTAAACATTTTAAAATTAGAAATCTACATTTAAATGACGTATTATTTGTCGGATGGCTAGAATAGGCGATTTGCTAATAGATGGCAGTAAAATCTCATTTTAAGAAAAGATTGGAGTTAACGGGTTTTCTTGTGTCGACGACGTTATATATAAAACCATAATATATAAATTATTGTGGACATAAATTTGATAGTGTGTTATGTGTCCTTGTAATATATTCGATTGGAATCTAAGTTAAAAATACTTTTAGTTTTTGGATTTTTTGCATTACATTTTTCAAAATTCATGTCAAGAATCTAATTTTGTTTCTGTGCTATGATCTGTCAGGTTCTGTGTCTGTTAGCTATTCATAAGGTTCTAAGGTTGTATTGGTTCTATGCCATGAGATATTATAATTTTTATGTGCTTGGAAGTAAAGGTGGCTGTGGCATTGCCTGTCATTGGCCTATATAATGGAGTACCAACAATTAAAAATTAAAGTTTCTAAATTATAACCTAGTGTATGCTTGTTGACATTAAAGTTTAGTCCTTAAAATTAATATAAATATGCCATCAAAAAAGAAAAAGTATAATGCAAGATTTCCAGCTGTAAGTTTATTTATTCATTTAATTTATATTATTAAATAATACACATATTTTAGGGAAGAATAAAAAAAATTATGCAAACAGATGAAGAAGTTGGAAAAGTGGCACAAGCAGTACCAGTAATAATCTATATCCTTTTTTTACGTATTTAAAAATTAACGTTGTTAGGGGTTTAATTGCAAGAATTAATTGGGCATGTTCTTTTTGTATGTTGTAAAGCAAAGTGACATAAATGGAAATAATGTTTTCCTAACATACTGTAAACAAAAGATGTTTTGAATTTTGGTAGATAGTATTTTTTAAATAAGATTTTAAAATACATTATTAAATTATTCCTTTTGAATTTAAAATACATATCTCTCTCGTTGATAAGAGTATACAAATAAAAAATGAATTGACATGTATCCCAAAAATGGTTTTAAGAAGTAATATAGCCATACCATATATGAAATACCATTAAAGCTACTATCCAAGTTTTATGTACATTGAAAATTGTAAATTTATTGTATTGTATTGTATTTAGCTTTAAATTTAAATTAAACTAATGCATCAACAACTGAAATTATGAGATATTTTATATTATTATGGTAATTATTTACTAAGTTGTCTTTTTAAAGTAATAAATTTAACATAATGTTATTAAATGTGCTGAATATATTTTTGTCTTTCATAAAAACATTCTTAAAAGTATATAAACCAATTCAAGTGAAGTTCTAGGGATATTTTAATTTTATTTAAAGAGGAAGCTTTGTCAAGAATTTTTTTTGTAGTGGTTTAAATGGGTTACTTCATTGTTAGTATTGTAAAGTCAAATCATCTAGTTATGTTAGTTAAACATATTCATTATTAGCAGTATGTTTTTATACTACTACCTTATACAGAGGGATCACAATTGTGTTGTTTAGTTTATGATTACTGTGACTACCTGATACTTACCATACATAAAAGAACAGTGATCACAGTCACTGTTTAAAATCACTGTTATTTAAAAATCAAAGTCACTGTCACACTGTGATTTAAAAATCACTACATTCACTACCACTAATATAGTTAACCTATTAACGCCGGCTGTACTTATTTGAGGACACCTATAAAAATAAACATTCTACTGAATTTTAAAATAGTTTCGGCTATTAGTCACGTTTTCCCCTATCGAGATAAATAGCTTAGTCAGTAACTGGCTTCAGTTTGCTATAAATACAACCAGATGTGATTATATAGTGCTTCGTATTACACGAGTTTCAAAGAGATAGTAGTTGCAGAATAAAAAATATTTTTTCATAAGAAAAATATTATATTTTATAAGTTTTATACTGGAAATTAAAAGTCCACAGACTATTCTAAATGTAAGTATTCACCATAACAAATTTATTTTATATTTGGTAGTATTTGACAGCCACTATATTTTAGCATCCCAAACAAGGACGTTAGGCACAAATATGCCTAATTCATGTATTTGCTTCTTTTCAGATCACTATAGATCGTACAATATTTTATGGCTCTAAAACCTTCCAAAAATTGGAACAAGCCTTGGAAGAAGCTAATACCTAGTGACGAAAATGAACAACTGGAGAGTATTGATTTGTGTGTTCTGCCACCAAATTTGGATGAACTGACAGATAATGAAGAACATGATGATGATATTCTAGAAGATCCAAATTACATTCCAAATGAAATTCCTGGAACTATAGAAACCTCTTTTAAGTCTCATGATGAACCAGAAGATGTAAGAACTTCAGATGAAGTTTCGGGTCTACAATCAAAGGAATATGCTCATTTTTTAAAACCCAAGTGGGCAAAAACTGATTTTCAATCTACTACTACAACAGTAAATATATCATTTGAAGAGGAGAAGAAAAATGTTAAAGAAGATTTGAGGAATTTATCACCAATTCAAATTTTGGAAAAATTACTTACTGAAGAAATTATTACATACATTTGTGATCAGTCAATTTTATACGCACGGCAAAAAAATAATCACTCTTACAATATCTCCAAGCGAAATGAAAACTTTTTTTGCAATATTATATCTAACTGGATATAACAGATTACCACGAGAGAGGTTATACTGGTCATTAGATGAGAACCTAGCAGTTTGCTGTGTTTACAACGCTATGAGCAGAGACAGGTACTTAGAAATAAAATAATTTGTTCATCTAGCAGATAATTCCAAAATAGGAGATTCTAAAGATTGTATGTACAAAATTAGACCCTTAGCAGATAAAATTATAGAAAAATTCTGCCAGTGGGGATGTTTCCATAAAGATATATCCATAGACGAATCCATGGTGAAATATTTCGGCCAGCAAAACAATTTATTAGAGGGAAGCCAGTCAGATTTGGGTATAAGAATTGGATGATAACTGGTTCCACTGGATATTGTTATGGTTTTGACATTTATTGTGGAAAAAACCAAATGATACTGAAGATACTAAAGGAATACCACTTGGAGCTAAAGTAGTAATTCATCTTTTGAAATACCTACCTGAACCATCTAGAAATGAAATTTTTTTCGATAATTATTTCAAGACATATCAACTAATGACATACCTGAAACAAAAAAACATAAAGGCCACAGGAACTGTAAGAGAAAATTATGTGCAAAAATGTCCAGTAATGGAGTCTAAGCTAATGAAGAAAATGGCAAGAGGTACATATGATTACAGATTCGACAAAGCTAATGAAATTTTATGTGTGAAATGGTATAACAATAGTGTTTGTTCTATGTTATCCAACTATGATACCATTGAACCATTAGGTACGGTAAAACGGTGGTCCAGAGCATCAAAATCAAAAGAAAATGTAGTATAGCCAAAATTGTTTGCTTCCTACAATTCTGGAATGGGTGGAGTAGATGTGCATGACCAGTGCATATCATTATATCAAATAAGCATAAAAGGTAAAAAGTGGTGGTGGGTTTTATTTATATACTTTCTTGACATGATTATGACTAGTGTCTGGAAACTTCATCAAATTTCTGCTGAAAATGTGATGGATCAGTTAGAATTCCGTCATCATATTGTACATAGTTATTTGAGAGATGGTGTCACCTCAAGGACACAAAGAAAAAGAAAAGCTGGTTCCAGAATTGTAGTCACTGAAGGCTTTCATTTTCCGGGAAAACTGGAAAAACAGTTAAAGTGTTGTGTGTGTCATATGAAGGTAAGGTGGACATGCAAAAAGTGTGACAAAACAATGTGTATTGAAAAAGGATGTTTTGAAAAATATCATACAAATACCTAACGTCCCCATTTGAGGATGCCCTTGTATTTCAAAATGCTTTTGAAAAAAATATATTTTTTTGAGTACATGTAATAATTCACAATCACAAAATCACAATTTTGTACTGCTTATCATTTTTTCCACGCTAGTTTGTTTTTAGGCGTTAATGGGTTAATACTAGAAATACAGAAAATAGCTCTTTACTCATTGGATTCCAAATTATTAGTACATACCCTACATGGAACATGTTTTATTTATTGCATCATCCACTTGTACCATAGGTATTTTGCCATAATATATCTCATTCATTTATATAACCAGAAGTGGAACAGTAAAGTGCATTACAAAAGAACATAAATGTTTTAAGTAAACATAAATTTTAAAAATTGATGTATTAGGTTGACAGGTTATGTACACATATTTGAATCTTTTAATATTACCATTACCATTTTTTTTTGTTTAATTTTTTTTTATTCCTTTTTGTATTTTTTTGTTTCTTTTTATTATTTTTCTCAGTTATTTGGGCAGATACACATGAACACTTAGTCAGAGGTCTTTCAGAGTGACATAAAAAACAGACATGTTCAAGAGTAGATTTCTTCAGACAAATTTGTAGTAGATTATAAGGTTTCTGTATTTTTTTTTATTTTGTTAACATGTTTGACACATTAGATTTTTACAGCCCAGTTACATGTTTTCTATACTACCCATTTATCTGTATACATAATTTAGGATTTCAACTAGTTTTAATTTAAACACATTTGGGGGATATAATGCATGCTAAAATCTGAGTCTACATATTGTTGATACAGTTATTTATCTATATGTCCTGATAATTCATAGAACCATGGCTTTATTAGCATGTTTTTTTTTGTTTTTATTATTTGTATGTAATAATTGTCTTCCATAAGTATTGTATTATTTCTTATACAGTGTAATATATCTTTATTGCTTTATTTAAATGGGTAATTTTCTCTAGTGAGTTTCTATCTGATAAAATTACATATTAATAAGTTATATTTTGATAGTTTGAAATTATATTTCAGATCATATAATATTGCTCTTTATTCTGGAAAGTCTACAGACTCTCCAGTGTACAGAAGTTATGTAATTTAACTATTAAGTGGCCAACATGCAGAAGCCATACTGCATATGCTAGATGGAGTATAATCCACTTATTATATATTTTTATTAACATTTCTCTCGCATATTATTGGTTGTTTATTGTTTCCTAAAAAATTATTCCATGTATTTATAACTACGAAAAATAATATATTTCTTAACAAATAATGCTGGTTTGAGATTAATTGTCTAGGAATCTGGTTATCAATATTAGGAAATCAAAGTCTTGATTTCCTGAATGACCCATCACTACCCAAATAAGGAGATTGAATAAAAATGTCAATAATAGCCATTTGTTTGTCAATAGTAAAATATTCATCTGCTTGTCACCTTTTCACTAGGTTTATTAAAATTGTCACACTGTCTGAATTGATCCTCATTCCTTGTTTATGGTACTTGTAGGATTTGATAAGAATTTCATTAACCCATTAACAGCCAAGCAATGAAAAACAATAATTTTTCCAAATTTTTTATTGAAACTACATAGTTAAAAATGCCTCAACTAAGATATGCCTATGATTTCTTAACAAAAAATTAACAACTAACATCTAAAAAAATAATTGTGTGTACACACCCTTAGCCAATACTGTTATACATAAAACATAATTATTATTTTGTATGAAACGATTCGTAACATTTAGGATGGAGATGAATTTTACATTTTTTACATAAACACATAGTATGACTTTTGCATAACCTACTTTTCTTTTGTGCACTTCTTGTATTGTGCCTTCTAATCAAATGAACCAATATTGTCAAATGTTTCATTGCCAGGCAAACTATCTTTAGAGGGATGTCCACAACCCAAGTGAGCAGCCACTTTTGTGTTCACTATTTCAGCACAACTTTCAAATTTAATAAGTGATATTGCTAGAAGTGATCGAAATTATAATTGTGACATTTTACTATCATTTGCAATATTGTAAATCTTCCAGATATTTACGATTGTGCTATCAATAAGATTCATAAATAGAGGCCACCACCATTTCTTCCCTCTTATTCTGATTCAGTAATTAGCAATGCCCTTATCGTGCAAAGCTACATCACCCATAAACATATTGTATTCAGCTGCTATAAAATACATTAGGCTGAGATACGAGAATATTTTTGTGTTCTTTCAGACTGTATCGTTCTGTTTGAACAAGAGGTAGTAATGTGCAGGTACTATTACCGTAACAGCAGAATTATCATTTCATCTCACGAGTAAAACTTATCAATGCAGTATCAAATGCAGAATCGAATGTTCCCTGTGCCGTCTTTTTGAACATTTTGCTATTCTGTAATGGATATTTTGCAGTACGGTTTTCTCTTATAGTACCTGTGGCAAAGAAACCTAGATCCTGCAGTGTCACAAAAAGAGCATAAGAAGAAAATAAATTGTCGAAAAAGACTTGATATCCTTGTGGTTTGTCAACTACAGAAAGTAACAATCTACTTATGTTGTTTTCCTCCATAATGTATGAATTTGTATAAAAAACCTGTATGTGATCAAAGACACAATGAACATCTTGCATGAATGACATCCAAAATATGGTACCATTTCCTTGTCCTTTGAAAGTTTATGTTCGAATATACTAAATTGTAAAAATTTTATATTCATTATATGAAAGATAGGAGTAAGGTTAGCAAATTTATTATCCTTCTCTAATTGAGTATTATCAGACAAATGAATATTTTGTTTGATTGATCGAAATTTAGAGCGATGTCCACAACTCAAGTGAGCAGCCACTTTTGTGTTCACTATTTCAGCACAACTTTCAAATTTCATAAGTGATTTTGCTAGAAGTGATCGAAATTATAATTGTGACATTTTACTATCATTTGCAATATTGTAAATCTTCCAGATATTTACGATTGTGCTATCAATAAGATTCATAAATAGAGGCCACCACCATTTCTTCCCTCTTATTCTGATTCAGTAATTAGCAATGCCCTTATCGTGCAAAGCTACATCACCCATAAACATATTGTATTCAGCTGCTATAAAATACATTAGGCTGAGATACGAGAATATTTTTGTGTTCTTTCAGACTGTATCGTTCTGTTTGAAACAAGAGGTAGTAATGTGCAGGTATTATTACCGTAACAGCAGAATTATCATTCCATCTCACGAGTAAAACTTATCAATGCAGTATCAAATGCAGAATCGAATCGAATCCAAAATATGGTACCATTTCCTTGTCCTTTGAAAGTTTATGTTCGAATATACTAAATTGTAAAAATTTTATATTCATTATATGAAAGATAGGAGTAAGGTTAGCAAATTTATTATCTTTCTCAATTGAGTATTATCAGACAAATGAATATTTTGTTTGATTGATCGAAATTTATTTCTAGACATGGTTTCTCATCACAGTGGCTACTTTCTTATATTTATCTTTCGACCAATACATGTCACATTGTGGCAAAGTGTGATAATTTGATAATATGCAGATACCGATAAAGCGTTTCAGTTCAGTTTCATTCATATCGAATTTGTGACAATTGTTTTGTGCTGCATAAGTATTTGAAAAATGTCTGGCTTGTGATTATATCATCAAAAAATAATGAAAATATTTCGATGGGCGACTTTCCTCCATGGCTGGCTTTGATGTTCTCTAGTTTTATTACTTTCAGGATGAGTCGAGAATACTGGAGTGGTGTTTGTTTCTCATTTTGGTAAAATTTTCGAATTATTTTGATTAGGTTTTCGCATTTTGCGAATTTTACTGAATGGGATATCATCTTCAGAATCACTTGCTGTCGGAACTTACATTTCATATGTTCCATCAATGTCTGCATCAATATTATCTTCTTGAATGAGGTTATCATCCAAGTATTCATCATCAGTAATTTCATCAACATAGGAGGGATATATGTAACTTCTACTTCATCTGCATTCTATATCTGAATCTTCTTCAAGACATCAATTAATACAATTAACAAGATAATTTTGAAACAAAAAAGTTGACAACTCACCTTTAGATGACTTTGAATATTCCTTTATGTGCAACAAACAAATATTTTTAGTTCTTATTTATGTAATATACCTAAACATGTATGTGTTTGTCAGATGTAACTGACAAACTGACCCAACGGTTGATGTCGCGTTGGCCGTTAATCTTCACTGATGCCGTTGTGCGCCAAGGAAGCGTACGCGCACCCTTAATATTTAAATCAAACTTCCAAGGCCAAAATTCCAGGCCAAGTTTCATCCAAGTATGCAACTAAGCGTAATAGTATTTTGAAGCTATATTATCATAACATATATCTTCGTTGGGTTAAAAAGTCGATAAAAAATTATTGTCTTCATGATGTTGTCAACAGTTGAAAAATCATGTTAGTTTCACAAATTGTAAAACAGTTTTTTTATCTAAAATGGTTATAAAGATAAAACAAACATGCTAGAATATTTGTGAATACTAGTTAGGGTACTAAGTAATGTAACAGCATGTAAAAAAAAATAAAAATGAAAAGGGTGCATTGACGCACCTTTGGATGTTAATAGGTTATTGTAGACCTGTGAGAATATGGATGGAACATAATTCCAGCAATAGGGGAGGTTTGCCTAAAATGACATAGATCAGCTATTTCCATACATAAACATGTTAAAAACTAGCGGATATATTATGCTTACCCCATGCCAGGTGCTAGCGATCCTTTGAATTATATATGGTGATCTAAGAGTTCATATTTATATCATAGTAAAACAATATAAATGAAAGCCATAAAAAAATAGACATAGAGCCACAGTAATATAAATTTTGAGAATTAATATGTTAACTATTTTTCTTAATAATATATACCTAGAACATTAGAGTTGTTTGTCGAGTCTCTATTAACAAAATCAATGCAGATAACACAAGCAAGAAATGCAAAAACATTGACTCCGTCCCATATGAAACAGTGTATTTTGTCAGAAAGTCGTTTTGATTTTCTAAAAGACCTAGTAAAGAATATCCCTGATGCAAGCATACAAGAAGATAATGAAAATAATGCGCTGTTCGAGGAAGGTTCTCTTCGAGAAGAGGTTATGGATGAACCAAGTCCAAGTTTGCCCAGGTAAGGAATAACTTAGTGTTATATTTTCTCCTATATTTTTGTCAAGAATGGGGCATTAAAATAGTTATTTAATTGAAATGAGGTTGAATGCTCGAATAAATGAACTTTGAAAAATAAGGCTATTATCGAGCACAAGTTAATTAAATCTAGCCCAAGTACTTTCGCTTAAAATAGCATCTACGCTTGCCGGATAGTTTATATTTGACGAAATGCCCCTCAAGATGCTATTTTAAGCGAAAGTACTTGGGCTAGATTTGATTAACTTGTGCTCAATAATAGCCTTATTTTTCAAAGTTCATTAAAATAGTTGATTGACTTGACCAACATTTGAAAAAAAAAATATTTTATAAATAAACTTTGAAAACCCAATGTACAAGCTTTTTGTCAAAACACTTTTCACATGGAAAGGGTGCAACAAATTATGTCAATTTTAAAAATAACAAAAAATTACTTCACTACACGAGCTCTGGTTCTTCCAGTTTTTTAATAATAAGAAACCACACTCTCTTTCAATGCCATTTATAGGAAGTGTACACTTCGTTTCTTCTCGCTTTTCTTTTACCTTGTTAGATGTAGTTGGTTAGTGATATTAGTTTTTATTCACCCATTTCTTCGATTTTTTTCTATGTTCTGCTTTTACCATTTGTTCAAGTGTTTACTCCTTAATATAAGTGTTTATTAATAATTCCTGGTTGGTTATTCTTCTAATTGGTCTACAGTTAATAACATAGGTCATGTTGTCAATTGTTTATTTTGTTACACTTGTTTCACATCTGTTGTAGGTCTTATATAGCCATAGGCTGTACCCTCTTAGCCATTGGGATGTGTCATATTAGAGATGAGAACTTCCCCACTCAGTTCTATGTTGACTGGAAGTGAACTGAAGCTCACTGTCTCAGACTGAAGTATAGTTTCTGTTGTTCGTATTTTAATTTTTCTTATAATAACTTAATAATAAATAGTGTTGTTCTCTCTGGGATTCTAGTCTGATAAATTGTTTTGCTTATTTAACATAGTATATGCTTGTTGAAAATAGATAAACATTATGTAGACCCAAAACATGCTTATCAGTGGATCTTGGTTTGGAGTACATCCCAGAATGAGATATCCCTTTACTGCAGAGTTCCTTTCACATTTTTTGAATATTGGACAATATAATAGCCCCTTTACGTCTGATACTTATTTTAATTTTAATATATGATATATTAAAATAGTATTAGCATTATATATTACTGATGTACTAATATTTCATTATATTTTTTACAGTAGTGCTAGTAGTAGAGCTAGATCGTCGAGGGGAAGTACCCAAGAACGAAATATTCCTCAAACTGAAGTCTATGTCCCATCCCCTTCTAACACAGCCTTGAATGAACAAAGTACCTCCACTAGCAGAACGCCCGTGATTCAATACGGCCCAAAAGTAGTAAATGCTGAGAATAGCAAAATAAATTTTTCTGTGACTAATTTATTAAAACCAGACGAACCAAAATTGCATGTAACAATAGCTTCTGAAGAGTTGGCGGAAGTTCCACAACTTCTACCAACAAGCAGATCTTCTAGCAGTTTACCACCTAGAGTAAATCCTAATGATATTGTACCTCCTTTAGTACCCATTTCCCGCTACAGTCAAAACTCCAGCGATAATAATTTATATATTGATGAAGAATATGATAACTGAAGGTAAATTTTCAATATATTTATAATAGTAATTACTATACATGATAGGTACAGTTGCGGTCACGGAATAGTTTACAGGTTCACGTATCTAGGAGCCCATTTTTTAAAATTTTACTTCGTTTAAACGCACCTTTTACGTCAAAGTGACGTTGCCAGTGGTGTACTAGCTAGAATAGGTAGATTAAAATTAAAATATCAAAATATTTTACAAAATGAAAAATATAGAAAACAGTTTTTTGAATAAAATGGATTATGATCTTAATAACGAAAATAAAGAAGTCTTTTTTTTTAATATGCATTTTATTTTAAATCTATTTTATATTAAATAACGATAAACAATGATAAATAATAATTAATATTTGGTGGAAGCCCCATTCTTGTCAATACAATTTTGCAGTCTTCTGTTCATAGATAGCACCAATCCCCTCATGTTATAGTTAACAAGCTCTTCCATGCCTGCTCAATTGCTTCCCATAATTCAATTCTATTCCGTGGTCTAAGGTTTCTTTCATTTAGTTTCTTTGTTAACTCTGCCCACACATTTTCGACGGGGTTAAAGTCTGCACTACGGGAAGGCCACGGAAGAACATTAACATCAGTTTCTTCTAGCCATTCTCGAACAATTCTACTCGTATGCACCGGGCAATTGTCATGTTGGAAGATAAAGTCGTTGTTGGGGAATCTCTGGATCACCGATGGCAACATTGTGTGCTCAATAATATGTTTGTAATATAATCCTGTTAACTTCTCCTCTACATGATAACAAACGCCCGGGCCTTCGGCACTTATCCATCCCCATATGTTGACAGAGAATCCTCCACTATTTCTTAAATGATGCGTATACTGTTCATCATACCTATGATTTCTCGGCCTATAAACTCTTATTCGACCATTATTATACGACTGAGATACTTTTTCATCGGAAAATACAACCCTAGACCAAAAATTCTCATCGCGGTTTATAAATTCATTACAAAATTCAACTCGTCCCCTCTTGTGATCCTCAGTCAAAAAAGGTTTCCGTGCAGCTACACAATTTAGCAGTCCACTTGCTTTAATTCTTCGACGTGCAGTGCGAATACTGCCTGGAAACGCTGCCTCTTCTCTTGCCTTTTGAGCTGTGGCAAAAGGAGATTCTCTCAAATAATCTACTAACATCTCATCCTGTTGATCTGTGGAAATCTTCTGCCCTCCTGAACCGCCCAACCGTGCTATAGAGTGAAAATTATCCCATCTTTGTTTAATCTTCCATATGCACATATGACTCACGTTCAAATCAGCAGTTCAAATCAGCAACCTTAGTGACCAACCTTCTTCGAGTTTGGCAATTGCTCTTGCTTTTTGCGCATAATTCAAATGTATTCTAACCATTTTGGAAGAGTTTAATATACTTTTATTTTATTGTGGAACACTCGCGAAAGCATTGACGTTTTGAAATTTTTTGACTTTGACATTTATCAAATCCGTACGACACTGCAATTTTACAGTATTACAATATAAAAAGTAAGGTGTAAACTATTCCGTGACCGCAACTGTACCACTCCAATGTTATTCGATGAGGGTCAATATGTCACAACAATATGTCACAACCCAAAGAAGGTTCTGAAAAGAACCATAAAAACTTAATGGCAGTCTTAATCTACTCAAAGCAATTATAGAAGACTACAGTGTGGCAATATTCTAACGTAACGGGATTCTAGAACGTATGATGTTCTACTAAAATGCTTTTGTTTCTGTGCAGATTTATTTTGATATTATGAACGAATATCCAAATGCAAAATAAAATGTTTTGAGACACACCAACAGACTTCGGTCTAATAGTCGTCATAGTTCGGTAGTAACAACTAAAAATTGATTGTTTTTTTTTATCTTAATATATTCGTTATTTCCATTCGAAGGTGCTGTGTAGTGCCCTTTCGTAGTCGCCTTTGTTTTTTTTTATCATAATACACTTATTTATTATATTCTTCCCTTTCATTTGCGATGTCGCATGTTAGGATTCGATCATTGGTTTATTTTGTACTTAGTCGGAGGACTTCTTCAGATCAATAAAGCAAAATTGCAGGTCAATAAAGCAGCAGTGTGTATTATCATCCATACTGTCCGGTATATATACCGGGTGGTGAATCGTCAAACGGGCCATAGGAAACTCAATGAGAAATTTTAAATTGTTGAATTGCTGCTTCCCTAATTATTTTAGATCAAAAGTCATAAAAAACTATTTGTAGAGGACTAAAATCTGAATTAAAAAACAAATGTTAAAACCGTTCTACGAATCAAATGTACTTCAAAATTTTGAAAAAATGTGATACATTTTTCAGACCACCCCTAAAAGTTAGGTCACACGTAATGCAAGAATATATATTGGAACTTGTGTGTTTTATCATATTAATGTCAGATGTTTGACAATTTGAATTGTCAATTTTTTTATTTTATGATTAAATTATAAACAATGAATTTTACTAAATACTACTACTACTGAACATTATTACTTTGTGAACAATAAATTATATTGTTTACAAATCGATCAATATAATGAAATGTACTCAGTTGACGAAAAATCGCATAATGTTTTATTCAGGCAATAGCGCGAACCTTTTCCTGTCACTACCGGATCTTTATTTAATGTAAGATATTCTAATTCACTAAAATTTAATTCCATGTTAAGTTAAGTTATACAACAATTCAATGAATTCCAATATACTGTTACTGTGATCTTTATTCCTAATAATAATATATGATTATTTCTAAACATAAAACTATAACAAATGTTATAATAAAACATGAATAAAACATTTTTATTATTGCTTTTTTCTTCTCAACTGAGTACATTTTTTAATCAACTTAATTTTTTTAAACAATAAATCACAAAATTTTGGCCATTTAAATCATAGATAAATATAAAAAATTGATTTAAATATTGTCAAATATCAGAAACAATAATATGACAAAACGCAACACGTAATACACATTTTTTCACAGAAAAATGTATTATATTTTAGCAAAATTTTGGAATACGTTTAAGTCGTAGAATAATTTTAACAGTTGTTTTCGATACATATTTGAGTCCTCTACAAATAGTTTCTCATGACTTTTGGTGTAAAATAATTAGGGAAGCAGGAATTCAACAATTTAGAATTTACCATTGAGTTTCCTATGGCCCGTTTGCCGATTCACCACCCTGTATATTGATTGTGTATACATTCAACATACTTCTTAAGAACAATAGTTCTTTTATAATAGATTATATTTACTTATACTCTAGAATAGATTTTTGTTGACAATGACAATAGGTTAAAAGTAAAACGGTACACTACAAATAAGCTATAGTCTCGTGTTTGCCACTGCTGATAATATTTGATTAGTATATGCATAAAACATTAACTTATTTCTATTTTACGGTCAAAACATTTAAAATCCTATCAAATGATCATCAATTTTTTCATTATTTCAAATATTTAATACTAACAATTTTATTGGAAAACTTTCTAATAGTTCAAATTTTCTGTCCGTTTGTCAGTCATTTTTTTAGTAGGTACAGTTTTTTGTAAACAAACATGCTAGGTTAGGTTAATCATATAATTAACGATAAAGTGCATGTGAACACATAATTAAGATAAAAAATAACAAGGAAAGTTTAGTTATTAAAAAAAAAAGAAATACGAAAATAAAGAAAACAGTGCCTCAATTAGCAAATCAATTTTTTTAATCTATTATATACGATACCTGTACGAAGAGGAACAATGAAGCGATGTCGTTATGCAATATGTAAGAGTGATATAAAATTTTTCATATAAAAATGATTGCACGTCATTCAAAATTTACGACGTCAGAACCCTACAGCGTTGCCAAAACAGAATAGTTAGTAAGTGAGGAATTTTTAAAATGTCAACTATTTGTCAAACTGTTGATTTGATTCTGATCAAATTGTGTAAGAAATCAAAACATAAACAAAATTCTTACTCTAAAAAAGCGGCAACACTTTAAACAATTTCGCCACACGCCGAACTGTCATTGAAATTTGAAGTATTTCCGTATCAGTTTCGTACTATTGTCTAAAATATTTTTAATTAAAATTATTATTTTGTGGAATATTAGACTTAGAGTTATTTCATAAAATTTATATTATTAATAATAACAAATGTTTTTGGATATTTAATCAAAATAATTCTAATATTCCTAATATAATCATGATAACATTTTTCTGATTATTATACCATGTTGACGTCTATGAAAGATCGAGCAGTTCCGTATGGGTTTCGTATTATTAGCTGTGTTAGGAAACTTTGAAATCTACGTTCTGGAAATTTTATAAATTTTAAGTGACGTCACTTTATATAAATTGTGACTTGTGTCGTTTTTACTTTGAAAAAGGGTATACGCGCTCTAAATCATTTAAAGAGAGTAAATATTATTTTACAAATTTTCCAAAGCCTTATTTCTTTATCAACAACGTTATTTCGTTTTTAAATTAAAAATATTTATTTAATAAATATTTCTTTATAATCAACCAGTGGCATAATATGACGTATAATTTATATTATTAACATTAGTAGTAGTTCTTGTAGATAGGTGGCGCTGAGCAACTCAAAGCAAATAAAAGATATTCATCTCATTTGATAAAATTTAATTCCGTTCCTTTAAATTGGCCGGTGTAATATTATTTGTTGGATTACAGTCGAGTATTGAATGATGGTCCGGACTCAAAATGGTGGCTTCAAAACTCAGTGGCCTGGTGAATCATTAGAAACGCGAGGAATAACAAAAATTTTAATTTTGTGTGAACATTGTTCTTATGATAAGTAGTCTCCTGAAATAGTAATTTCCTATTACGATCAGTTTTAGTGAGCGTAGGCTTTTATGAAATTGTGTGACATAAGGTACAAAATGGAGTATAAATTGATAAAAATATATAAATATAGTGTGTTCAAAATGTCGCTCCGCAGAAGTTATTTTATTCAATACTCATTCTTTAAGATACAAAAACCAATATTAACTGTT